TGTGTGTGTGAGAGAGAGAGAGAGAGAGAGAGAGAGAGAGAGAGAGAGAGAGAGAGAGAGAGAGAGAGAGAGAGAGATGCAAACATGACTGACATGAATGGGAAGATGGGCCACTCCATTTCTGAAATGCTCCTATCATCGCAGAATGGATGGATGCAAGACAAGGTAAAAAAAAAAAAAGAAAAAAAAAAAAGAAAGGTAAAATGGCTTAACAAACAGGGCCTGGCTGACCTGCTTATTGACAAGATCCAGAGATCAGAGTGTATGCAACACTCAGATATAGTCTCAATAATAATAATGATACTAATAATAATCATAACAATTGTAAAGCCTACAGCGGTTATTATTGCTGTATTTGGTGTATTTTTCAGTCTTAATGCAGCTATAATGACTGTACGTTGTATTCGGGGGAAGAAGGTAGGAGTATTGACGTGAGGATGGGTTGAGAGGTGACCCCACCCTGTCAGGACAACCATTGGCTGCCTGCTGCCAGTAATCATTGTGTGTGTCTGGTCATTGGCCTCTAGTACCCTCTACCAAAAAAAAAAAAAAAAAAAAAAAACCACAATCCATAGATTACTTCAGCAGATTGGATAAGAGAAGCCAAGATCAACAGCTTTTAGATAAACAACAATCATGGGCCTCGCTCCACTACTCTAGACTCACAAAGACATTTGTGAGTGCTTCGAGAGCTGTCAGACCCCTAACACTCTCGAAAAAAGTAGCCTCGCCCCATTTACTCTATATGGCCACACGCTAGAAGCACTCCCGAATTCTGTGAGCGTTTTTCTTTTGTCTCTAGTGCACTACGAGACAGCGCCAACCATTCTTGACGACCGGGACACCAGGAATCGGGGGTAGGAAGGAGGACACTAGAAATGAGGACACTGGAAATCCGAAGCGTTGCAGGCTGTGAACTACACTAGAATCTAGATGCTTCCTGAGTGCCCTTCGAGTCTGCTAATTTATTTTTGCCATGCGTATATTATGAATTTCTGTTAGTTGAGGGAGAGCATGGCTTTGAAATAACAATTTAGAATTTTGACTGTAGCCACTTTTGTCAGAAGGTACCCAAGGTGATTTGTTTTTTTTTTTTGCGGGGGGGGGGGGGGGGTGGGGGGGGGATAATTTGCGAAATACCCCTATAAGTCGAGATATATGCCAAAATGCCCCTAAGAGATCTGGGTAGAGCGGAATACCCGTCTGACATCAAAAATGTTTACGAAATGCCCCGGGTGTTGGTTGGACCTGTCAACTTTGCAAAATACCCCTACCCTATATGACCCCCCAGGCTGCGGATCCTGCGGCCGAGGCCGCGCAGCCGACTTTTCCCACGCCCTTGCCATGCGCCGGCGAAGCCGCGCGCCCGAAATCGGGCCCACGCGCATCGCCTGCGCATGGCGTC